AGCTTTCCCTGCCATGAGGCACAGCAGAGAACAACACATTAAGCCTCACCTGAAGTGCCTTGCAAAATGCTCTGTGGAGGAAGCTGTGTAACAACTGGTCTTGTGACCTATAACACACCGAGGGCTCTTGAGAACTGAGAATTTGGCAGTATCTCACCCTTTGCCTGCTGGAGGCCAGTGCTCAGTTCTTCGCTCCTGCTTGTTAAAGGCTGCCTTTGTTTAAATGACTGCATACACCTTTAGTTACAGTTGCTAATTGTGGCGTTATTTATGGATCTGCACAGATCTGCAAAGTGCCCCTCACACATCCTTGTTTGCAAGCGGGCCTGTCTCCAGAGGAGCTCTCAGTGGAACATTTATGCTGACAGTGCTCTTTGCAGTTTCTGGGTGAGTGAACATCAGTGTTGGGTTTCTCTTCTACAGTTTCCAAGCTTGTAATAATTTTACACAATGTAAGCTGGGAGGAAATTAAGTTTTTTTGGGGGGGGACCCCCACTGATGAATCAGTGACTTGCTCTAGCTACCTTAACACCCCAGGTTTTCTCACTGCAGTGCTTCTTCAGTTCCTGTGAAAACAGATGGACAAATAAACACTGGGATCCTCCTGGAGACAGAGATGTCTAACATACCAAAATGCTAGATTTTACTTGGAAACCAACACATGAAAGTTGAAACCCCAAAGGCAAATAAATCCAAAGCAGAATACAACCAGCATACATATGCTGCTGGAGGTTGAGGTGCGAGTGTCTCTCTCTGCACCCCTAGGGCTAACAGGTCTCTAACTGGGTAATATTATTTTGTTTAATCTTTTTAGTCTGTCTCCTTGAAATGTACAGGACTACAAACACCTGAATTCCTGGGGATAATAGGAGCTGTAGCCCAACTCATCTTGAGGGAACCAGGTGTGGAAAGGGAAGGCAAGTTTACCTTGCTGAGAGTAGAACAGTCAAATGAATAAGGCTCTTGTCCTCGTCTCTCCATATTGGCAGAACTAAATAAAACCCACAGCTGAATTTTGTGAACCGTCCCCAGGCCACCGTTCTGAAAATCAAGACTTAATGCATTGGGTTGAGAAGTCAAAGGGGGCAATACCAAAATCCTCTAATCAGTCCCTTGGATCCAGAAGGTTGTTTTTCCTTTAATAAAATAATTATTTTCAAAGAATAAAAATTTCCACTTCGGTGCATTCTATGTCTTTCTAGGTAGACCTAACCCTATAACACAGTTTCTGTCCTTTCCTTTCCTGTTTCTCTAGCGTTTTTCAGTTAAGGGCTTTGGAAGGAAGGAAGGAAGGAAGGCCTCTAATCAGTCCCTTGGATCCAGAAGGTTGTTTTTCCTTTAATAAAATAATTATTTTCAAAGAATAAAAATTTCCACTTCGGTGCATTCTATGTCTTTCTAGGTAGACCTAACCCTATAACACAGTTTCTGTCCTTTCCTTTCCTGTTTCTCTAGCGTTTTTCAGTTAAGGGCTTTGGAAGGAAGGAAGGAAGGAAGGAAGTTTGCTATTTTCGAGAAAGGACCCAAAAAGGGCCTCCACTGAATCCACTGAAGAGGTCTAAGTGGAACAATAGGTAGAAGCCTGGCCTGGGACTTGGGAGACAGGCATGCCTTTTCACAGTTAAAACTGGTGTGCCAGCTACACCCATTTCTTGAGAGGTCTGATCTGGCCACAGTGACACATGCCCTAGTTACATTTTGGTTGGATTACTGTAACACACTATATGTGGGGCTGCCTTTCGAAAGTGTTCAGAAACTTCAAAGGGCCAAAAATGCTACCACCAGACTGTTAACTGGGCTGCTTACAAGGAATGTATAACTGCTCTGGCTGCCAATCTGTTTCCGGGCACATTTCAAAGTGCGGGTTTTAACCTACAAAGCCCTAAAAAACTTGGGTCCAAGCTATCTAAAAGACCACATCTCCCTCTATGAGCTTTTCCGAGCATTAAAGTAATCAGGGGAGGCCTTTCTCTCAGTCCCACCACCCTCACAGGTGCACTTGGCAGGGACACGGGAAAGGGCCCTCTCTGTTATTGTTCCCAGACTCTGGAACTCCTTTCCCATAGGAGGCCAGTCTGGCCCCATCTCTGTTGTCCTTCCTCAAGCAGACAAAGACCTTTCTCTTCAGACAGACTTTCTCTGGGTGACTGACTGCATGAGTGGGGTTTTTAAATGGATTGTTGTGCCTTACTGCTTTGAACTCTTTCTCAGCCTCAGCTACCTCAAAGGGTTGCTTTCAGGATAAAGGTGAGAATGGGAAAGAACTATGTACCCCACATTGAGCTTCTTGAAAAGGATGAAAACATATTACTATGTTGAGGCAGAAAACATAATAAAACAAGCAGGATCACAAATTCAAGCTACTTGCTCAATTGGAATGTGGTTTTATATACAAGGCTGCCATGCACAAGGCTAGACCACAGCTTCCCCCAACTGAGTAATGTCTGCATTCTGACTGGTAGTAGCTCTCAGGACCTCACATCATCCCTTTCCATTACCTACTCCCATGTTTCAATGTTAAAACGAAATAGCAGTGAAGGTTGGTGCCTTGGTCACTTACCCCTCTCTTCCTGGACACTTCTTTCCCACCCACTATTTCTGGCCCTCAGGACCGGCTACAGGCCAAATCCTCTCCAGAAATGGAACTGTTCATTTCTTTTCGAAGGAAAATTAAAGAATTTCAGGAAAAATAAGGAACTTGAGAGGAAAAAAAAAGTTTCCTTGAAAATTCCAATTTTAAGGAAACAAAGAAGCAAGCAAGCAAAAAAGCTCACGAACAGAAGATTGTTACACACAAAAGCAAAGCTACGTGCCCTATTCTCCTCGTGTCTTTCCAGAGTAATCAGTGTTATCTCCTATCAATAGAGGTTTGGGAATAGAAGGGAGTCAGGGTTCACCAAAAGTGGCCTTGATGTTGCATAATTCTATGGGATGCGTGATTCTGATCCCAGTTTAGAATATGCTTAGGCTGGCACAGCACTTTACCTCATGGAAAAGCAGGAGCAGCAGTGGGTAGATGAGTGGGTGGGTGGTGCTGGAAAGAGCAATAAAATCAGGAAAATCGTTAACTCTCAATGTCAAAATCAAGAGTGGGAAAACCCTTCATTAAACAGAAATGATTTTACTCCTGCAGACATGCTCCAATGTTTAGCATGGTAAGAAGTACTGAGAAACCTTCAAGCAAAGAAACATACACCTGATTTTTAAGAGTTTCTCCAACTCAACATCAATCTTTAAGCTCTCCCTCAACAAACAGGGCCACAATCCACCTGCATGCCACTGCCGCTTACAGGTAGAAACACTCCACAGCCTTGCTTGGCAGCTGGAACGCTCTAAGGGAAGACTATTTTCCCATTCTCTGGGGGGGGGGGCTTCTGGTAAAGTTTCCCCTGCAAGCAAGGGGTGTGAGTGAGGGTGATTGTTTTATGAAAAAAGCAAATGGCCCACTAGTCAAGAGCATGTAGAGGAAGTCCACTGACACACTTCTACAGAAAGAGAAAAATATGATTACTCTGGGCAAGCACAGAACCTGCAAACCAGCTCACTGCAGACAAACTGGCACTGAAAAGGAGTTTTCAAAGGGAAAAAAAAGGGAATTCGGAGGGAGGGTTTAGGGTCCCTCATGAGAAGCGAAACCCCATTTGATTTCAAGGGGTGTTACTCCCAGCTGCCTTCAACCTGGCACCGTACAGACATGTTGGATTACAACTCCCATCATCCCCCAGGTGGCAAGTGTTGGGAAACTAGCATCTAGGACTGCAGACACAATAGGTGACCAATAGACTCCAAGGGCCCTCCTGTTTCCCCCTTTGCTAGTCTTTTGTTTTTGTTAACAGCATCCAAATGGTTATCAAAACAGGCTTCCTCTACCTTGACCAATGGACCAAAAATCCAGAAGCCACCTCAAGTACAGAAGCATCAAAATTAAAATCTCATGCAACCTGAGCCTAGAAAGGTTTGGTTTGAAGCCCAATTGTGTTCAGGGTGCCCCATTCTCACATAACACTGCACAGAATTATAGCTTTAAAGTGAGCTAGTGGAAGGAAGAAAACCTGTAGGAAATGAAATACTGTTCTATGCCTTTGATATTTAAATTCTGATAATGGCCCAGAGAAGGAAGATCTAAGATTATTGAAACTGATTTCATCAGTCCCTTAATTGTTTTTTTTTAAAGGCAGAAACTATTTATTCATTTTAAACACTGAGGAGACTGGAATGTCACTCATTAAATGTATTCATACCATTTTCTCAGACTTGGGCAGGATCCCTCTCTGATCAAACTAGCCTTAATTCCTGGTTTAACTGGGGGCAGGGTGTGTACGTGAGCTTTATTGCAAAAGGCTATCCAGGCTCCCTGACTTTGACAGCCCAGACTAGCTGCCATGCCAAAGCACTAAGATTTCAGCTACCTTGCATTTCTGCACTTTTCCGTACCTCTATACTTCAACCATCATAACTGTAAAAGAAAAAAAGTACATTTTGCCTGCAGAAATATAAATGTACCCTACTTTTTTGGGGGAGGGGGTAACTTCAAGATATTACAGGCTTCTTAGGTTTGGAGAATTTGCAGAGTGGTTGACCAGACCAGATGAGTGGGATACAAATCAAATAAATAAGTAAATAAATGAAGTGCCTTCAGTACCAAGAAGCCAGAAAGGAGACCCCTGGCCTCATGCCCCTGTTTGGTCTTCTGGCCATAGCTTCCTTCTCCAGCCCTAAACAGGTGCTGATTCTGGCAAGATGTCCAGGGGTAGGGGGTGATTCAGATGAGCTTTCCCTACTCTTGCCTTCTTGTAAGTAACCCACTGACCAAGATGTGAGGCTTAGGGATGAAGCAACAGAGGGACAGAGTTCCCCATAAAGCATCCCAGTCTCCTAAGGTCAGTCTGAACCTGACCACTCATGGCGTTTGAGACCTCAGATGGGAGAATGAAGCCCTCCTTTCTGGACCCATAAGCTCCAGAGGGAGAAAGTAATGTACAAAACAGCCATAAACTTACCTTCCTTGGGTGGATGAGAGTACAGGAGCCAGAAGAAGAGGAAGCAACAAAATATAGCACTTATCCCTGTAGACAGCTCTCTCCATCCGGCCAGCATCCTTAGAGAGGTTCCCCCAGATGGGCCACCCGCCTGGGGCCGAAGGAGGGACGGACCCTCCTTCCTCAAAATCCGGACTTCCTCTAAATCCAGCTACCAGGGGGGGATCGGCCTGGCACTGAGGGGCTCCGGCTGGCAAGGGTGCCCAGCTGCATTCCAGTGACAGAAGGACAGCCAAGCGGCAGACAACAGCATTGGGCTCTCGCGGGGAGGGGGGGGTACGGAGCGGGGATGTGCAGTTTCGACCACAACTTCACAGAGGCTCGGGCTGCCTCTTTAACGATTTGGGCATCTTGGCCCCCCTCCCCCGCTCCAAAATCCAGGGGCGCCAAAAGTCCTCTGTTGGTTTGTTTATCTGTTTATTTGTGTACCCCCACAGGATCCCTGGAGTGCCGGTGTTGCCTTTTTCTGCTTCTTCTTTTACAGTCGATCACAAACTCTACCTTCCCCCTCCTCCCGCTCCCAACGACCTGAAAGGAGGAAACGGCGAAAGATTTGCACCGGATTAATTGCTCCGAAAGTCTTGAGTCCTGGAGGAGGGGAGCCCCGCCCCTTCCTTCGGTGTCCTCCGAAGTCCCGTCCGTACGTGCCTAATTCGGTTCTCCGGCTCCGCGCCCGGCCTTTCCCGTTCTCAGCAGTCGGAGGGGCCGCGGCGGCGGCGGCGGCGACCACCGGTTTCCTCCCCTGGTCGTTGCAGTTGGCCGAGCGGAACCCGCCCTCTTGCCGC